CAGAAAACATAATGGGAGGAGACAAGGGATTTGAGAGACCTCACCGCGTCCGAAGTTACTGCAAATTAACATAATTGCTACAAAGGCACTGTTATTTCAGATAAGGCTCCCACCAGCACGCAAGAGGAGGATTAAACACTCCTTGCAGCAACCACCACTGTGGCACCTGACAACAACCTAGGACCTAACACCAAATGAAGCCATACAACCAATACAAAAGCAAGAGCATTCCCTAATTCAGCAAAGGCAGTTACAGTATGCACGCAGCATACTGACATCCTTGGTGTCCTTACGTCAGCATTTATACTTCTTTAAGCAAGCGATGCACATAAAGGACTGCTGAAATACCATGCCATAGAGAAGGTTAGGGGCTGATGAACCAACTGCTCACTTTATGCTTTGGCTTTTCTTAAGACATCACAGCTGGAACCTCTCCTGAGCAGTACCATTCTCTCCTGCTTGGCTTTTCAAGAAAAAGAATATATGAATCCTAAGTATTATCGAGCTTGATAACTCAGAATGCATTTTTGTTGTCGTATATTCCTAGTACATGGGAACAGACAACTGATGCCCCAACAGTTATTGGAAAGAAGCTAAGTACTGTTCATGGGGAGCGTACTGAGGCACCACGAAAATGTTTTACTAATGATTTATATCCTGTGGCAAATCCACGAGTTTTTTTTTGATGGAAGTACAGGGGAAACATCACAGAAACAAGTTCTGCTGAAACACAACAGATCGACCTCAATTACTGCACCAGGTGGACTTCAGCTGACTGGGACTATGAACTGCTACAGGGTTACGAGATGAAGACAGTGACAAGGGTGTATGATTTGCACCAGATGTGTGGGGAAACACGTCCCTGCGAGATTGCAAGTCTCCCTCTTCTCCCAGGCTCTTGTTAAAAACCAAGACTTCAGCAGTGAAATGAAGAACTGAACACTGACAAGGTGAGCAACTTGGTGGCTGGAAGGCTTACCACTGGACCATAGCACTATTAACAAAAGCGGAGCAGGGCTGAAGCTTACACTGTTACTCTCCACACACCCCTAAGCAGACATAGCACTCCTGTCCCTCACTACAACTCCTTCCCAATAAATTCAGACTGCAAAGGAAAGGCATACTCAGCCCTTATTGCTGCAGGTGACAGTAGCATCTCAGAACTTCACCCCAGCACAAGCAAGCCCTGATTATTTCAGAAGTCAGGGAACAATGGGGGGTACCTTAATTCTGGTGCTTTCTAACTCTGTACCATTAAGTTCCCTTAATGTGTTTTTGGATATGATTCTGTATACTCTAAAGGATGAAACAGATGCCTAGTAGTGATTGCACATAAAAGTCATATTGCTAAAGTGTTATGACTGTTGGTGGTAGTTTAAATACTATCAATGCCAAGAAGCAGTGGGGATTAGACATACTGGCACAAAGCTAAACCCACACTTAGGAGCTTCTCTGTGGAGCACATAATGTACTGCATTAGCCTAACAGGTTTGTTTTCTTTTTTAAGCTAACTGTAACAGAAAAGTGAAGGTAGGACTCAAAAACTTGTGCAGTAGTCACATCCCAGTGTTAACTTAGGAGTGACATACAGCAAGAAAGGAAGAGATGAATAGCAGAGGAAAACAAGAAAAGATAAAAGTACTCTGGTAAGCAGAATCATTAACTTTACAAATATAAACTGAGCTATTATAAGTATGAGCAACATAAACTTAACTGGAGGCATATCTAACACGGCTGCTCTGCACATGCATCCACAACAAATGAAACTAAGAGCATTAAATAATGACAGATTTTAAACAGATGTCAACAGACGTGAAGTGATGTCAAGATGATAAACTTCAGTGTAATTTCACAAGATCAGGGTTCAGGTAAATAAGTAACTTTAACCAAAATGCCTGCAACTCCTTACAGCTGCTTTCAAAGCAAGGGATGCCATTAACTCGTGCACAAGAACGCACTATCGCATGCCATGCGGCAGGCTGGGGGGCCAAGATAAAGAAAAAAAATGAAGTCCCTTCTACTTTCTGCTGTTCCACTTCACAACAGCTTCCCAAGTCATGCTTTTTACAGCTGCTGAAGTTATCACTGAAAGAAACTCCTCGGTATGTGCCTTGACTTCGGCAGATTCATAGTAAAATAGTTATCCTTACTTATAGGCTGTTGCGTCTTTTCAGCTGAATGTTATTTTCCCCCATTTAAGCTTTTATTTTGGATGCAGGACAAACCTTATTACAAAAACAAGGAAAACAACAAGTTTCCTAGAAAGCATAATAGTCACGTTTCTTTACTTTTCAAAGCCCTTCACAGGGCAGTTCTCAGCAGAGGTCTGACATTCAGAAAAGGAGCTCTGACATCTTGAACCACTGGAGGGTGACATGAAGGAACTACATTTATGGATATACAAATTTATCTCAACAGCAAATTGATTCTGGTCAGAGTTCCACAGTATTGACAACATCCGTACAGTTCCACGATATTTATGACATCAGCTTTGCCACTCCATCAGCTCAGCTGTTTTCCCCTCCCGGATACAAAGGTTACACGTCCTGTCACTCAGAAAAGCAAGGCAGATCAAACTGCTGAAAGACAAGTGGGAGGGAAGAAGGATGTGGATTATCAACAGCATCCAAATAAGTCTGCTACATTTGAATATTAACAGGTCGGGTCATAAGCATTTATGTCACAATTACTGCCCTGTGTTACATTCAACAAGCTAGAGCAAGAGCTAACCCATATTTGATACCTACAACAGAGCAATAAATGTCATAGAAGAGCTCTTATAGATGCTAAAACTATATGCACCATATGGATACGGTATGTGCACAACTCACAACATTTCACATGAAAACTGAAATATTCAAAGGATTAAAATAAGCAATTATACACATCACAATGCTTACATTGCTGTTTGCTTGCTGTGACATCCGAAATTCCTTTGAATACTGGACAATACCAAGTACCAAGATTCCCATTAACATACATGAGAAAATACTTGGTGTGCACCAGCTTCAGCTTCTCATCTTACACAAGTTTCAATACTAAAAGCCTCCCAAACTTACTAGCTCAGTCCTGCTTGTCTCTTCTGCTAAGTAATATTAACTTGATTGCCATCTGTAACAGAACTCTGCCTGTCAGAGGCAATAAATCAAGGTGACAATAAGAAGCTCGTCATAAACAGCAGTGCTCTTGGAAGAAGGATAAAAGGCTTAAGGTTATTATCCAGCAGAACTAATAGCTATCTGAGAATTTATGGAAAGTTAATTCATTTGATGTCTGAGATGCACTTCCTTCACTCACACTGAAAAACACATATGAACTACTGAAAACTGGACTCATTCAACTTGAGATATGTACTCAATTCTTTACTTGCAATCAAAATCATTCACTGTAACATGCTGACAGAAAGAATTGCAATTTGTACCTTAGTTACAAGTGCTCGTCTTCAGCATGAAGCTTACAACATACAAAGACAGCTGTGGCAACCCTCAGTGCAAGAATACTGTTAAACTTGTTGCATGCCCCCTTTGAATCAGAGAAGATGGATGTTGCTCTGGTACTAGCACATTTTTAATGCTGATTTTAAGGACTGAAACTGTTTAGACTATAGAAATTGATCCGATGCTTGCATTTACCTTAATTCCTGTACTGGTAGCAGACTAGAGAGTGCTTTACTTTTAAAAAGTTAAATTACTGGAAGTGTGGGAACAGAATTACTGCCCAAACATTGAGAAACAGATGGGGATAAGAAAGGAAAAAAGGGGGATAACAAAGAGTTGACTGATCCAAAATACAGAAAAGCAAGCAAACCTAAACTGAACGTGTATTCAACCATTTGCAAAGGAGCAGTTAACTATGAAACTGTTCCCTTAATGCAGGTCTTTTAGTCCCCATGCTGTAACTAGAAGGTAGCTGACCACAAAACTGATGTCAGACTCAAAAGCAAAGCCTTACCCTCCCAGTTTAACGCTACCAGCAACTTCCCTATGAAAAGAACCTTTGTAGTGGAACAGCAAATCTTCCTGAGCAAGCAAGTTGCAGATCTGCGGAGGAGAGGCCATAAGCCACGTGCTTTAGGAAGCCAGCTGGAAGGAGCCCTTCCAACACGGGGCTCTCCGACAACAAGGAACAGCAGGGGGTGGGAAGCGGGGCAGCGTGCTGCTGCCTGACACAGCGCAGTGCCACAGCACCAGCACAGCGCAAAGCGAGACCCAGAGACCAGCCGCGTTCACAGGAGGCAAGCGACATAAGCAAGCGCAATACAGCACCGGGCGTCAGACTTTACCTGCCGCAAAGCTCTGACCATCTTCCGAGCTCAGCAGCGGTGGAAGTTTTGCTTTCCACTACCACAACTCACAGCCAAAACCCAGCCCCTCGTAAGGCCAGCTTTCACTCCCAGAATCCCGTGCCGGCCGCCAGCCCGCAGCAGCGCCCAGGCTGGAAGGCTCGGGTCGGCACGGCACGGCACGGCACGGCACAGCTCAGCCCGAGGTTCCCCGACGCGCTGCTCTCACACGAGGCACACGGCTGCCCGAGGTGCAGCCCGGGCCGCGCGGCACAGCCGGGTACCGAAGGCCCAGAAAACGGAGCCTCACAGCACCCCTGAGCTCAGAGGGAACGAGGCGACCAGCCGCCGCTCACACGGATTTCGAACGCCCGGCCAGCAGCGGACGCGGTGCACAGGACAGCAGGACCGACCCCCGACGGCAGCTCCGGCGCGGCGCTCTGTGCGCCCAAAGCCTTCCCTTCCCTTCCCTTCCTTCCTCCCCTCCCCTCCCGCCCGACCCCACGCACCGTGCCGCTGCCCGGGCCCCGCCGCCGCCCGCTCCCCGCGAACCAGCCGTGCGCGCAGGCGGCGGCCGCCGGAGGCCGCAGCAGAGCGATGGCGAGGAGCAGCCGGCGCGGGCAGGAAGCCGCCCGCAGCAGCAGCACCATCTTGGCGGCGGAGCGCGGGGGGTTGTGGGGCGGCGGCGGAGCGCGGGGCGGGGCGGCGGCACGGCGGCACCCGACGGGGCGCGCTCCCGCTCGGCTCGAGCGCGCGTGGCGGATCTCGTCTGGCGTGGAAGCTGGAGCTGCGCGCGGCGCTTTTAGTCACGTACAGATTTCTTCAGAGCCGCCGGGGCTGTCGCCCTGAGGGAGAGTTGTAAGCTCGTTTGCGGGGCAGAAAGGCAGAAGGACGGAAGGGAGCAGGACGGCTGCCTTCGAGCTGATTTTTAACGAGGCGGGCTTTCTCCTGCCCGCGCTTTGATAGGCGGCTTTGCTCCTGGCCGGGATTCGCTTTAATCGGCACAGACGACGTTTCTCTGTCGCCAATTCTCCAGCGCGGCACAGCCGGAACAGCGCCGCCCAGCGGCAGCGCTCGCACACACCGATCCCAGCGCGGGGCTGCCGGCCGCCCGCCTCTCGGCGCGCCCTCGCTCTGCCGCCTTTCTAATGGAGATCCGCAACATCACGGCTGTTGTCAAACCTCACGGTATCGCACAACTGTACCATTACAGCCTTTTCTCAGGTAAAAGGAAACGAGAATAACAGGTAGCGTACAGCTTTACACCGAGCCATTTATAGAACTTGTCACTTTCCATGAGACAATAACACTGAGGGTGGAAAACAAGCATTTTATCACTCAATTAATACTCCCTTTAGTACAGGCTAGCACGAATTTTTGTCTAATTTAGTTTTCATGTTCTCAAGCGAGCATTAATTACATAAGAAATACATATATTCCTTTCACAAAATACAAATGGGAATTTAGCCTTCTAAATGAATATTCAAAATGAAGTCCTGTCATTCATCTAATGCTGAAAAAAGCACCCACATCAGAAGGCAGGTGGGGAGGAGGTGATTCATGTTCAAAAAGCAATCAAAAGCACTAAATATTGAGCTTAGTTCACTGATAAGTAAGGGTGAGTACCCCCCTGCTGTAAACATTTAGAGAGGGTGAGAAATTACGAGCAATGATAGAAGGACTGGATCTAATGGGATCAAATTAAATACAGGGAAGTCAAATATCTGGCAAAGAAGTACTTACATGGGAACGAGATGGGCAAAAAACAAGATGGGGTAACTGAGAGAAGACAGGAGGAGCCATGCACACACCTTGGTGGTCAGAAATCAGGACAACAAAGCTCATGACGTAGACCCAGAAAGATAGCGGGAGTTTTTTTTTGTTGTTATAAACACACACTATTTCAAATAGCTTGCCATGAAAAAATATATATATGCTTCTCTGCAGAGTTAACTATAGAAGAGGATCTCCTTGTATAAATCAGACGAAAATCAATCTCTGCTCAGAATAAATGACAAAAGAAGCTTAGTAGAAGAAACAGAAACCCCAGGAATGGTAACAACTCATCGCAGAGGAGATTTGTGAATAGAAACCTGGAAGGTCTCTAACCTGGACATTTTCCACTCCAACTCCCACCAAATATTATGTTGCCAATATTAAAATTCTAAAGTATTAAATGTTAAAATAGTGTGGCAAACTAATATTACACAAATCTGAGGGGTATGCCCCATAGTATGGCCACCAGTCCTTCCATGACATGTACAGTCAGCAAACCAGGTCATGAGTATACCCTAACGTGCTGTGATGTGCTTTATCTGGGATGTCTCAGTAACCCTCACAGCAAAGTGAAGATAAAAAATAAATAAAAATGAAGACACCCCTGACATATTGGGTGTTGGCATGAAGACTAATTTGCTAATGTTTTCTCAACACTTTGAAAGCATCATCTGGCTAATAAAAGATACTGTAAGTGGGTACTTAGTTTTCCCCTACAAGAACCACACAAATCCCACTGTGGAGGTAATATATATCCCATAAAAATAAAGGCATTTCGGAGGCAATACATTTGAATTAATTTAGTCTGTTTATTTCAAAATAGATGAATGGAACGGGAAAAGTAGCCATAATGGATTAAATATATATATATATGCATATATATACATTTGCAAATGAATGTGAACTGTGAAATGCATTGCACAATGAAAGAATGAACTGTAGCAAAACAGAAGCTTTTATCAAAAGTTATAAAGTTGGTTCAGATGATTCCCAACAAGTATATTAATCCAGCTCTTGCAAAGCAGCTGTTGTTATCACAGCCTCCCCAAAACCAAAGTTGATACCACAGAATGGCTTAGGTTGGAAGCAACCTTAGAGCCCATCCAGTTCCAACGCCCTGCTGTGGGATGGTTGCTACCCAGTAAGTCAGGCTGCCCAAAGCCCCATCCAACCTGGCCTTGGATGCCTCCAGGGATGGGGCTTTCCTGAGCAGCCCATGCCAGGGCTTCACCACCCTCTGAGTAAAGAATTTCTTCCTAACCTAATTCCTTTTAAGCTCATTCTCATCTTGGATGCGTATGATTATGACTGTTTAATCCTGAACAAGAAATAGTAATAATCACATGTTTATCTGTAGTTTCATAAAAGACAGAGTTGGCAACTTACATGGAAGAAGTTTCACTGTGTAAAGAACACATCAAAATGGAGGAAATATTTCCAATAGGTAAACTGCAGGTTTGTGACTTCTTTCTACTGATGTACGAGGAGAATAATTAAGAAATCCCATTTTTCATAAGGCAGAAGATGACTCCAGCTTACTCCATCTAAGGAAAAAAAGCGTTTCTAAAGACAGTGTTGAGAGAGATATGCTAAACCCTAGGAGGAGTATTAAAATGAGTTGTGAACCCAAAGTTACCAATCACAGGAAATTCTTGGAAGAGAAAGGACTGAATGAAAAGTTGGGGACAGCTTGGGTACACACATCCCAACTCAAGATTCCCTTCAGTGATAGCTAAACCCAAGACATGCATTTCACTTCTGGATCTCAGCCACAAAGCTATGACACCATCTGTCAGCTGGATTGCTGGAGGAAGCAGAGAAAATCTCAGAGCTGATCTAAGGCACTGCTAGATATAAGCATGTTCTTAATATATTGCTTCCTGCCTGCCTCTAATTATAGGAACCGTGTTGTTAATACATGAACTTCCATATGCAGTTTGTTCCTTCATTTTTACCTTGTCTTTACACTGCCTTAGGGATAGCTGCAATGTATTTGGTAAACACTCAGACATCTCCCTGCTATGGGCACGACATGATAGTCCTCAAGTCCATCTTACTGCTCTATTTCACAGAGCCTGCTGTGACTTCCAGTTTTTACAGGCAGCTACACAGCACTAGGCATATCCCTAGTAAGCTTAACAAACCAATCTTGGAGCTGGTAATAGGTGTTGATGTGGAAGAGATGTCTTTCTGTGATTACTTTCGGTAGAAGCTCATTAGCATTCAGTGAGACGGTTGAGATGGTGCATGCACACTGAGGGATCACAGCACATTTAAATGATTGAGAATTAGCAAAATGCAAAGGGTGTAACTCATTCACAACTGGACTGCTCTAGCACTTTCATTATTGCACTAATAATGCGTAGGTTTTCCTCTTCCAGACAAAAAAGATGCAGCCTTAGCTGTATGCCTGACACTCTTCCAGTTCTGCCCTAAACAAACTGGCACAGTTTTGCTCTTTGTTCACAGAAATAAGCCTCACGATATCCAGTTCCATTGGACTAGCTCTCATTCCTTAAGCATTCCAGTCCTCCAATAAGAAACCTAAAAGTACACCGCAGCAAGATATTACAGCTCTCAAGCATCATGCCCTCAAATCTCCGTGTTCTCTGTTTCCTAAGGGTGGCAGCTCTGGCCTCATTTCGATCCTTGCAGTTCTGACAGCTTGGCACACATACATGAAATGTCTTAGCCATGCAACTGGAATAAAACTATCTGTAAAAATTCATCAAGGCTGTGCTCACAGAGATTTGCACTATGGCAGAGAATTACTTGCAGGGGAATATGCATGGTGGTGAAATCCTGAGCTTTACATATAAAATAATAAGATGGTGAATATGCACAAACACAGTGGCTAAGCTTATGACTTAAAATCCAAACGCTGGAATCAGTTATGTACAGGAACCTGTTAACACACAGCAGTTAAAATATATGAAATTTGTTTTATTATTCACAGTTTAAAGGTTTTAAATTCTATTTAAAAGGCACATAATATGATTATAGCACTGAAATGAACTTCACTAATAGTGAGGAGAACTTACTTCTTTCAGCTGTAAAAAAAACTGAGCATGATTTTATGGAGACTATTTACTGGGGTAGACATGGCACTCAGGGACGTGGTTCAGTAGGCGTGGTGGGGATGGGATGGCAGTTGGACCCGATGGACTTACTGGGTTTTCTTCAACCTTAATGATTCCATGATTCCTACATAACTATCAAATGGTCCTCTAAGATTCTTAGAATCAACACTGAATGCTAACTAATCTGTATGCCAAGAGGAGGCCAACACCATATTTTATATGGTAACACTGACAATTCCAATGATGGTATGCATTAGGATAAATTAAGTACCCCTACAGTTGTGGCAATCAAAGTGAAATCAGAAGTCAGGCTAGAAGATATATAAAAGCAGTGGTACTCGGTCATACATATTGGAAGGTAATGAACACGAAGAGGGGAAGAGGGAAAATTAATAGGAAGAAATTAAAGAAGAAAATAAAAATGGGAAAATAGGACAAGGTTGTGAGGGGGAAAAAAAAAAAGAGAGAACTCTTCACTCAAGGATACATAAAATTAGTTTTGACAAGTAGAGTGTGTGCTGAAAGACACGGTCCTGATTTTGAGATAGTGATTCTCATGCTTATTTCTTGAAAAAATGTGATCTGCTACTCCTCAGACCTTACCTTCAAGAAGAGAGCAGCTCCATATACATTTGAGGTGCAGTTCAATTATGCTTTACAGTCAATTAAAAGAGAAGCATAAATGAACTGTGTTTTGAGAAGTATGCTTGCATCACAAGATGGCTTTCGAGCTTTCTTCTTTAAAAAGTTGTTTTTGTTAATCTTAACACTGAGCAAGAGTCAGGCACAAAAACTGATTTACCACTATGACAGCTGCAACGTTACATGAACATACTGTTAGCTGTGCTACAATTTATTTAAAACACATCATATCATCTACACCACACATATCACAGGGCTACAGCACTATTATCCTAACCAGAATGCCAACTGCTGAACGACGTTGTTTAACCTCTCACAGTAGAGCCACAAGCACCCTCATTACTGGTGACTAATGATTTGAAGTATTTCCATTTTTCTTGCTCGGAACACTTGAGCAGAGCAGGATAGTACTAACACTATGCTACAAACATATCTTTTGAAAAATTACACCCCATTACAACGTCTCAAGACCAGCAAGAAAAGAAAAATCAACCCTGTCTAGATTAGTAATTAAAAATTTGCATCTCAGTGAAATATTGAGGTCACACTGATAACTCATACAATAACCTATAATCAGCAGCACAGCGTTCCTTTATTCTTAGGTGGCTGATCATTGTTTCAGCTCGCTAAGAAGCAACGAGGAATAATTTGATGACTCACTCATGTTTCTGAGGATTCCTTGAGCTGTAAATGCCTCAAGCATGAACAGCTTCACTAGGCTGCTTACAAGTAAAGTAGCTTACAAAGCAAAACCATGATTTTTCCTCAAATAAGGATAGTTTGTTTATGCTTTCCTTCTGTTATTCCTGAATAGGTTTTTTTTTTTCATAAATAATAAAGAACAGCTAATTTTTTAAGCATACACTGAGGATCAGCATCAATATACGAGCATTGTACACTATGAGCCTAAAAATAAATTCTCCTGTTAGTAATGAAAGCAGTGACTAGAGCAGATGGCTAGTCTACAGTGTTATACAAAAAAATGGAAGATAACACTCCATTTACTCCTAAATGATAGCAGAACATGAAAATAATTTTTTTCATATCAGCACATTTTCCAACAGAGCCTCACTAAGAATGGAATTGCAAATGTATGTAATGCAATGCATTGAAAAATAATCAGAGCATTCATTTAACAGCAAACAGTGAATTCATTACCAGCTTGATAAGAGACTCAGTCCTGCGATGCACGCTAACATAACTGTATTTTTAAAGATATAATCTGCAACTGTGTTTTTGTATCAGCATGAGAGAGGATTTTTAAGCACAGATCTACAGGGAGGGGGAAAAACACTCATTAAAGCTCTTGCATGAATTAGTCTTTCCAGAAGGCAAATTCTTGTAATTGTCACAGGGAATTTAATAGGGCTGTGGAGTCTATGGAATGCTGTATGAAAGCTGCTAATAAAGATCGAGGAGAGAATTAATTCATGCATTTATCCAGCAGCCAGCAATGCTGGCCTGATGAGCACTAGGATGCTCAAACCCTTGCAGCTTCCAAGAAGGAGCTTGGGCACCAAGGTCTCACCCCAGCACACCCCATGCTGGGGACTTTCCAGGTCGTAAAGGCTTGCTTGGCAAGGGCTGGGGGGAATTCCAGCATTTCAGAGAAAAGGCATCCAGTTGACACGCTGGCTAGAACTGCCTTTCAGGAATGTCCACTGGGACCAAATGGCATTCAAAATAACTTATTACAAACGCTGGTGGTTTACTTCCTTTTATACATACCTAATAGCTCACAAAAGATGTTAACTCTTTGTACACTTGGAATAAAATCAGACCTAACTCACAGAGGGTAACCCTCCCCTCGCAGAACTGCCATCCAGTAGATGGCTGTTAAGGTAAGAAGCTCCTGCAACCACAGACCCACCTGTGGGCAATAGAAGGGTTCCTCATATATGGTTCAAGGAAGCAGCATCTGCAAGTTCCTTAGGTGTTATAGTGGGAGTCAAGCTGATGGCATGCGCTGCCTCAGGGGTGAGAGCGGGGCTTGTCCAAGCCTGGGGAAGGAAAGGCTGAGGGATTATGCAATTGCTGCCTTAAACACACCTATAGAGAAGCTGCCAGATTCTTCCTGCAGGTACACTGCGAAAGGACAGGAGGCAACAACTGCAAGTCATAACAAGAGAAATTCCAGCAAGATGTTGGGAGAGGGAGGAAATTACAGTAAGAATGGTTATGCTCTGGAGTGAATTGATGAAATCTCAACTCTTGCAGATACTGAGTCTGTACAACACTGCCAGAGGATCACGTTTGTGTGGTGAGCAGAAGAAAGGATAAATTCATTAGTTGTGCAATGCTAACAGCTGTAACCTGCATACAGTTTGTGATTTCTTAAAAAAAAAATAAAATAATGCTATTCCCCCTCTGAATCTCTACCAGGGAATATATGGATACAAAATACTTTTATTCTTCTTTACTTCATGCTGTCCCCTCAATTCCTTATCACTTTGATATCAGCTTCATGCAGTTACAAACAAACCAGGTGTGTTAAATGGATCACAAACTCAAGATAGAAATGCCAAAAGCACACTCGCTGTGTGAAGCAATCACCAAGAAGATGTGTACATTCAGACTTCGCTGTGCACCTTGTCTTAGTGTGCTGAGAACTGACTTTCAGACACCCAGGGCAATACTGGAGAAAACATTTAGAAGCATTGTTTTTGCCCATAGCATAAATGAACTTGCCTTCTTAACAGTCTAAACCTCTGCGCTATCTTCCTTCCCTTGCATTTCACATATTGTCTTGTCCTCGGGGGACCAGAAGCATTAACTTTAAATATGAAGCAGACAGTGAAAGTCTGATATACTGACATTAATTACTGGCCATGCAGTGTCACCTAACTAACAGCTTGAATTTTAGAAGTTTCGGTGCCTGGTTAAAAATAAGCACTCAGAGAACAGTAACTAGGATACAGCACAATTTACATGTGTTTGAAATTTGAGTCTTGACAGTTAACTAACCTAAAGTCAAAGAAAAAACACCAAATCTGACCCGCCTGTATGAATGTCAAGAAGATGGAATTTAATATATCATCTTATTAATCCTGTAGAACAGTCCTTTTATAAATAATTCTATGTCTAGTGCACAATCCCTGGAATATGGGTAGACCTTGTTTCTATCTCAATGTCTAGACACATATGCTGATTAAGTTAGGCTTCCAATTAAATAATCTCTGACTTCCATTAACACATGCCCTGATCCTTCATCGTACCACTCTGGCTAAGCAGTCACCTGTCTTACCTCTGAGCTTCATCAGACAGGGCTGGCGCAGCACTGAGCTCTTAGAAGATGTCTTTCAGATGGCAGCATGCAGGTACGTGAGATTTTGGCCTAGAAGAGGCAGCATCAAAATGGCAGGCATCAAAATCAGTGCTAAGAGTACTTGCCCAAAGGAAAAACCTTACATGTGAACTCTCTTGTGTATCTCATCCCTTATGTGACTCACTTGTTGACGCCAGTAACAAACCTCACTGAACTCAGAGAAAATGCAACTGGTCTTTAATTATTACAGGTGCTGTAGTTCACATGCATTGCGGTAGCAACTCAAGGTCCTTTCCACAAGGATGAAACTCCAAATAATAAACTATCCTTAGGTTCTGTCTCAACAGGTTTATTCGTATTAATTTAGAGATAATACAGGCACAGTGAAAAGGACTAATGTCTGCAGGTGAGAAATTTATCACACAGAATGGCCAGGGTTGGACGGGACCTCAAGGATCATGAAGCTCCAACCCCCTGCCACATGCAGGGCCACCAACCTCCACATTTAATACCAGACCAGTTTATACTAAACCAGGCTGCCCAGGGCCCCATCCAACCTGGCCTTGAACACCTCTAGGGATGGGGCATCCACAACCTCTCTGGCCAGTTTGTTCCAGCACCTCACCACTCTCATTGTAAAGAACTTGAATTTAGTTAGCTTAAATTTAGAACTTAAATTTAGTTAGCTGGAAGACTGCCACGATGTCTTGATGTGACATGAGGGCAAAACCTGCTGCCCTCTGAGTTTTATGGAAATGGAATGAGCTCCACCTGTGCTGGTGTCAGAGACTTCGCAGTTATGATACCAGTGTCCCACCCTCTCAAGCAGCTTTTACCTGTATCCTCATTCCATGACTTGTCTACTTCACAGTTCGCAGTTTCCCAACAGAGATACTACTTAGTTAAGTAATAAAGCATTAAATTGTTACAGATAACCCCCAAACACATTGCAAAATGAATCTTACTCTCTGGCCTACCTTTTGTTTAGGGCCTTTGTGTTTTGCTAGGCTGGATGGCCTACATGAGACTATGGCAGCAAGTTATCTCAGCTTAACAGTAAATGCAGTCAAACCAGAGCACAGGAGATACTGCCCTTCTTTTGGCTTCGCCTCTCGAACAGCTGCTGCTGGTTGCTGCTAGATACATCCTTCCTCCTTTTGCCCTGCAAAACAGAACTAAAAATTACATATATTTCCCACACACATTTATATATATCAAATGACAAAAGAGGATGAATTGTTTCTGAAGCCTTGCACTGGGGGAAAAAAAAGAAAAGAGAAAAGAAAATGGCTTATGTAAATCTAACAACTGGTCATTTGTACAGTAGAAATCCATGAAGTTGCATGTCCAGCCTTCCCTAAATCATCTCTTTTCACCTCCCAAGCTGCAGCAGCCCATTCCTACTGCAGGCTCCAGTTTCCCAGCACTCAGGTTGCCTTTCAGTCTGTTTGTTTCCAGGTGCTGCTCATCTTTAACAGATGTAAGGGTCCCTGGGTCAGCTCCAAGTGAACCGAACAGAGACTAATACTCCAATCCCCACCACTGAAAGTTCTGTCTGCTATCTAGGTTCCATTTTCATAGTGACCTTTGCCAATACTCAGCAACATATCTATAGGTACACTAAAGTAAACGTACACAAACGTTTGTTGCAGCAGATGGCTTCGCAGGCTGTTGCAATCCTTCCACCTTCTTACCAGCTTTGTCTTCTGTTCTCTCTGAGCTACATTTTCAAGTCAGCTGCAATCCCACAGTAAGTTCTCGTTAAGTGTTGTTGTTTCAGCCCCACAGAGTTCCTGCAGGTTTGGTTATCTGTTAACTAGATTGACAAGTTAATTTAGATGTGCCAAGGCTTTGATTTCTTTTTTTTTTTTTTTTAAACCCCCTTCTCCTAACAGACACCTGCCTACAAAAGCACTGATATCCGTCCCTTAATTGCTGCAGGATCAGCGCTCGAGTCAAACAAGAGATGTGTTCGTGCCCCCTCGGGGCTCTGCCGCATCCCCGCCACCAGCAGCCCCTGCCCGGCGCTCACGTGGGCTGAAACCCTGCGTGCGAGATGCGAGCACCCCCATTGCCCCCGCTAAGAAGGGCATCGCTGAGCCCAGGCTGTTTCCATGCTGCCACGCGATTTCTGCACCAGCTTAGCTCAGAATTTCTCATAGCTTTCCCGCTTACCACAAGGCTCCCGACGCAGGGACAATAGGAAGTACGGGCGAAAAAAGCACTGGACACAGCGCAATCAGCGCTTCGTAATTAGAGTACGGCACGGCCCGTGCGAACACACGGAGCAGCAGAGGCTCATTAAGGCTTTGCTCAGCGCACCCGCACGGAACCAGCGAGCGGCTCGTCTCCCCGCTGCAGCCCGGCCGGGAGCCGAGGGCAGGGCTCTGCCGCGGCCTGAGCCGAGCCGCCCCGGGGCAACGCTTTAAGCAGAGCCGCAAAGGGCCCGAGCACAAGCTAACAAATGCTCCCCAGGAACCACGAACTCACGCGGCCCCCCATCCCACAGCGCGGCGTTACGGACACCGCCGCCCCCAGGAGCCGCGCGGACAGCCCGGCAGCACCCCGCGCCACCCTGAGCGACGGCGGCGGGAGCCAATGGGAGGAGGCCGTGGGCGGGCCGTTCCTCCGTCCCCGCCCCTCGGCGGCGGCGCAGCGGGGCCGGCGCGGCGCGGCGCGTGGCGGCCACGGTCGGCGCGGGGGGAGGGGGCCCCGGCGCATGGAGGCGATGCCGTGCCACAACCAGCGGCTCGGCGCGGCCGGCGGCCCGCGGCCCCAGGACGAACAGACGGCGCCGGCGGGCGGCTGCTCCCGGCTGATCCGCTTCGCCGAGCCCTCCGAGGGCAGCGGCAGCGGCAGCCCCAGCCCGGACAGCAGCAGCGCCAGCAACGGGGCGGCGGCGGCCCCCAGCCCCGCGGCGGAGGAGTGCGCGTCGCCGCTCGGAGCGCAGCTGAAGCTGCTGCCCATGAACGATCAGATCCGGGAGCTGCAGACCATCATCAGGGACAAGTGAGCGGCCGCGCGCGGCTGGGACGGAGACGGGGACGGAGACGGGGGTGGGGTTGTTGTACCCGCGCTCCCCCCGGGCAGCCCCCTCCGGCGGAGCCGTTCGGAGGGCCGCGTGCTCCCGGCGGGGCTCCCGCGGCGCTGCGCAGCGCCTCCCGCGCGGCCATTGCGGTGACGTGCCGCGGGGCGGGGGCGGCCGTTCCCCGACGCCGTGCGGCGGCGCCGCGTTCCCGGCAGCTCCGGGCGGGGCCGGCGGCCGAGTGCCCCGCGTCGCATCCTCGCTCCCGGCGCTCTCCCACCCTGCCGGCGGCGGCCGTGCGCTCCCGCTGGATGCTCGCTGCTCCGGCGGCTCGGGGAGCGCCGCCCTTGGCTGACGGCTGCCCCGCTCCGCCCCCGGCCGCGAGCCCTCCGTTCCAAACCAGAAGCGCAGAAATGAATGCAAAATGGTGCCCCCGTGCCGAATGTGCAAAGCGAGGTGCTCAGGATGTGATGGTTCTGTGCGCCGTGCTCGGCTGCCCTGGCAGCGGGAGCGTTCCTCCCTTGGTCACGTCTGTGTCTGCTCGGCACATGGGAGGTGATACTGCAGTGTATTAAATTTAGCGTGCAACGTAAGACAAACACACGGAGCGGGCATCTATTAAAAGCACAATTTGCCCGCTGTGATGTGAGCATCACCGCTGGACCCCGAGGTGAGCAGTTCAGGTTCAGAATGAGCCCTTGTGCCCTGCTGCCTGCTGATGTCAGCAAAGCTCACACCGTACGGCTGTGCTTCTGCCCCTCATTTTTTCTGGCCACCAGAAATGAACACCTTTATGATACGGGGTTTGAAAGCTGGTGACAGCTTTCCAGCTGCAGGTGCACAAAGGCTCTGTCGTTTTCATAATTATTTGGGTCTCATTTTTGTGCACGCCTCTGCAGTTCTCTGTTGTCTTTCGTCCCCTCAAAGCCAGGCACAGCTGGCTAAAGCAGCTCTGTGGACCGGCTGTGAGAGCATCCGAGTCTCTGTGCAAGGGCAGGGTAACTAAAGCCTGGTATCTTGTATTCATTCATAGTGTTCACTCTGAACGTGCATCGCTTTGCAAACAGCCGCAGGTGTGACACTGTCAGGTTTACCTTTCCACCCTTAAACGGAATTTAGGTAAATTTTCTGAAATGCCACAGTCCAGTCTGGAGAAAACTCGGAATACACCACCTGCACTCCTTGCTACTTGCTGTTAGTTTTCTGGGTTTGCTCTCACCACAGTTGGCAATTATGAGTCCTTTTCAAAATCCTAACAAGCATTTTGTATGATGGCAAGGCTTGTCTGGTTTGGTGAGGTTTGTTTGAATACTGGTTCTGATTAAGTCAAAGTAGCAGAAAATTAGGCAGAGCCTGTCATTCCTGGAAAGAGCAAAAAGAGTAACAACAAACAGCATTTGAAATAATGAATAACATGTGAGAAAGATGAGGCTGCCAGTCTGCTTCAAATTGTCTTCTAGCATGGCTAGGAGATTGCTGGTTGCACAGGGACTGTGCAGGCAAATGTCTTGGCTTCCACTCACGTGAACATAAGATGTTGCAGAACCTTGGGGTTTGAGTGCACAACTCTCTTTACAGTATATCAGGGTATCGTAGTTTGACAATGAGAGAGGGATGTAACAGCTGTGCATATGATGTTAATTCAGAGGATTTTTGTAAGGCCAATAGACTGGAAACATCGGCTCCTTGACCACAACGTCTTGACGTGGGAAACAAGGTGTTAAAACCTGGTCTTACTTCTCTCCAGCTTTCAACGTGGCATATTTGCACAGTGTGCGGCAGGAAGAGGTGAGCCCATTCTTCCTGTCTTCTGAATGGGCCAGAAGCCAAGCAGGCACGTTGGCAAGAAGTTTCACCCAAGCTGTAGGCCAGCAGAGAGGTGTTTTTGTGGTGGTACTTGTGCATCCCTGCTCATTTAGTCTCAAGTTCACTGATCTAATCTGTGTTATCGTTGTCCCATGGTTTGAGTGATGCAAGAGCAGGCAAAGCAAAGATCTCCTGCTTAAAGATGTGGAACGTTTATCAGGCTGCTGAGGTCTAAGCTTCTGAGGTGCTGGAGCTGAGCTGGAATGGTGGTACAGCAGAACACCTGCAGAACATCAGCCTGATGTTTTCATGCTTTAATTGCTGCTTACACAGTGCAGCAGCATTGCCAGCAATAAGAGGCAAGGCCCTCGGTAGTTTCCAGCCCATCAGCCTCCTCACCCACCACAAAACCCATGAAGTGGGATCTGTGTGGGATAAAGTTGGAATCCGGCAGGAAACTTTTCTGTAAACTGTCCCTGGGATATATTGTCCTTGAAGAAATGCCATAATGAAACAGTGTCCTTCAAATTATTCCCTGATTTAAAACAGCAATTGTTCCCTTTTTCAGGACAGCCAGTAGAGGAGACTTCGTGTTTTCTGCTGATCGTCTGGTAGGTGAAGCATTTCTTCTTCTTGGTGTTGTGCTTTGTCACTCTTTCATAAAATGGATCTTTCAGGCAAGAATTAATGGTGTGAGAGGAACTTCTCCAAACTGGAAACTGTGATTGGGCTGCAGCTTTCTAAGGGACTTCTGTTCCTTGTTACAGACTGGTCTCCGAGGGTTCCAGAAACTGTTGATACCAAGAGCAACTGCTTTAGGACAGCGAGAAGTAGCAATAAGACTGTTTAAAAACAGATGCTCAGAGGCTAGAGATAACTTGGTGTTAGTGTGAAAAAGCACTTCTGATCTTGTGAACAGATCTGTACCATTTCCTGCAGTCTGCATATTAGCAGCTGACACAGATGAGCCACTCTGTGTGCACCCACACCGGGCACCTGCCCTTAACCATGGCGTAGTTACTGGCAGAGACAAAGCAGTTTGAAGTTGGTGTGTATTTTAGGAAGTCAGAACAAAGACTGCTGGGAGTGCAGCATTTAACTCGTGTAAATTAGGTGCTTACAACGCCACTCCCACCCCTATACTGGTATTCATGAGGGTGTTTCCTGTTTGCAGATGCACACTCATCGATGAGAAAAACGTTTTTTTCCCCCTCTAACAAAGATCAGTTCAGGGAGCATTCAGCTACCAGCACTGAACCAGACAGGTTTCGCCCAATCTTAATCCATGCCTGATCTGGGCTTGCTCAGGGCTTCCCTATGCCCACAACTGAAGGCTGTGATCACAGCACGTTTTATCAGCAGCTTTTCTAGCTTTCCCCTCTACTTTTCCTTCTGGAGGATGTTTCTGCCATTCCCATTCTCCAGGAACAGTAAAGGCCCGAGCCAACAAAACTCATCCCTGTAACAACTGATCAAGTCACCAACCAGAGCATCCTTCTTTGCCAATAGTGCTTCATAAGGAACGGGCAGAAAGTCACAGTCCCAGCTGTGTTCTGTGCCAGCAGTTCTCAGCAGACACTGTTTAAATAGACATGATGTCCTTTGTGCTGTTGAACAAGTTGGAACAGCACAGGAAACATCCACAGCCTGTGAAAGTGTGAGCTCAAGTGTAGCTCATTCTTCCTGTTTTGGTTTTTTTTTTTTATTTTGTGGCTTTAACTTCTTCATTTGCTTAAATGTGTGAATAAGATTAAGAAAGCCAACAAAGGCCAACATCAGCAATGCCACACATTTGAAGGGTTCAGATCTCCAGTCCAGGTGCCAGGCCCGTTCCCTTCAGTACTGCTGTCACAGCAAGGGTTTCTGGTTAACGTTCTCATTTTACATTACACTGGGTTCCCAGCACATAAGAACTTTAACGTTGGTGCAGAAGGAAAATGAGAATGAAATTAAGCTTGCTACTAGCTGGCAGTTGCAAGTGGGAAGTATTTTGTAAGGTGACGTTAGGAAGAGATTTTAAAGCTGATGGATTGATAGTGGTAGAATTTTTTCTTTTGCCAGTTTCTTTCTTACACAAGGGGATGACATGTAAGAAACATTCAAAGATACTTGGGGTAAAGGTTAGCAAAAGGCTTCTGAAACTGACTGCCACTGTTGAGGTCCTGCAGCTGCAAGGGAGAGGTTAAAGTCTTGAGGAAGACAACCCTTCTTATGTCTATGAGGGAGAAGCAGGTGAGGGAAGGAAGCCTCCAGCCCAGGAAATGATCAGTCATTGTAAGCTGAGGTGGGAGATAGCTGAGTAGAGTGCCCTGAAGTGCTACATGATTGTGCTGAGCCCTCACACCTGTGCTGCCCCGCAGCCACACACTGTACAAGTGTTTTGTTGATGACCCCCATGCAGGATTCCTGTAGAGCTAGTGAGGTGCTCACTAAGCCTGAAGCATTTTTACTGAGACACCAGAGAATTTTTTTTATGAGGTCTTGGTAGGAGGTACCCAATAAACTGGGTCCAGTCAGACAAGTGAGTGCTGCATACAGCTGAGTGGGAGCTAAGCAGCGAGCTGTGGGCTAAAAGCCAGTAACAGGATGAGGGGGTGTCTCCCAGAGAGACAGAGGATGTCCTACGTCCAGTTTTTGGCAACGACTAAGCAAAACTGACTTGCAGCCTGGATACAGGGAGGTGTTTGTCAC